ATTTATAACTTAGAAATGATAATTTTTTACATATCTTATAATGTTCTCTATCATTAGTGGTCTTCAAACTAATTACATGGTAAGAGTAATGTTGAGCCAGCCACAACTAAAAGTAAATTCCACAGTCCTCAACCTCTGTAGGTTATAATCTTGTGGAAATTTACTTTTCATCCTTATCTTTGAGTTGCACAGACATTCACATCAGTATGGGTAATTTAGTTGCTGACCTGAAACATGTTCCCACCTCCAGATTTCTGGCTTTGGAATCTCTGTCCTCTTGCCTGCCTAACCAAACATTATTCTTCTTTTGAGGCCAGATTTAGTTCTATAGGACCGTACACTCTTATTCTCAAGCCCATGATGAGCTCCTCCTGCTTGGAATCTAAGCAATGAACAGTCTTCACGATCTTTGTGTGATCTTCAGTGTGCATTTGAGCAGCAATTTCTGTGGCCAGCCAAAGAATATTCTTTGCTTTAAAGGGGTTCATGTGATTAGGTCAGGCCTACCTGGATAATCTCCCTATTTTAAGGTCAATTATCCTATGTAACATAATATAATCATGGTAATAAAATCTATTATATTCCCAGTGCTGGAATGTATACATTATGCACAACGTATACACCAGGACCAGGAAATCTTCTGCCTACTGAATAGATAAGATTTCTACAAGCACAGAAAGCTCTTTAGGTGAAAGGAAATATGGACAAAAATCTCAAAAGTAGTGGGATGAGGTAGAGCATGCCTGTAATCCTAGCACTCTGGGAGGATGAGATGAAAGAATCATAAATTCAAGCCCAGACTGGTAATCTGGTCACTTAGCAAGATCTTGTGTCAAAATGAAAGACTTAAGAAAGTGATGGGGATGTAGTTCATTGTGAAGGCCCTTGGTTCATCTCCAGTACTACAAAAAACAAAAACAGGCAAAGCAACAACAACAAAAAACCCTGAAAAGCAAAGTTTCACCAGGGGTTATTGGAGACAGTGAATATGTCTGTTTGTGTCCCAGTAATAATAATGGCTCCCTTTTATGAATGTCTCCTGGATGCTTTACTAAATTCATTCACAAATGGTTACATCAGCTCTAAGGTGGGATTAGTATACTTTTATAAAGAAATTTAAACAATGAAGAGAAAAGTCACTTGCCAGATTTATATCTCAAAAGAATTATAAAATTGGGATTATGGTTTAAACACGGGTTGCCCAGGATTGTGTTCTTTGTGCTATTTAGCCTGAGTGGTCTGGGAGGGGAAGCAGTAGGCTTAGAGTGGACTCAGACTGTGGAGGGCATTGGTGTTAACAGGTGACAAGAAAGATTTTAGGCCAGGTGCAGTGGCCTGTAATCCTAATACTTGGGAGGCTGAGGTAGAAAGATTATGAATTTGAGGCTAGCCAGGGCTACACAGGAAGTTCAAGGCTGGTTTGGACTACATAATGAGATGCAGTCTCAAAAATCAAAAAACAAAACAGAAGAAAGAAAGATGGATGTCAGAGGGTGCATGTGAATGTGAGGGAGGAGAGGAATGGAAGTAGATCTGGATGGGGTAGGACGGGGAGAACAAGGACCGTGCAAAACACTGTCTTAGAAAAGTTAATATGGGCAGTAGTGATGGCCTGGGTTACGAGAATAGAGGCAGGGGTGATATGTCACAGTTGAGAGACACTTGATTAGCTGGATGTGGTGGTGCACACTTGTCATTCCAGTACTTGGGAGGCTGAAGCAAGAGCATTGCCATGAGTTCGAGGCCAGCCTGGGCTACGTAGTGAGTTCAAGGCCAGCCAGAACTACATAGTGAAACTCTGTCTCAAAAGAACAAACAAACAAACAAACAAAAAAAGAAAGACACTTGGTCAAGCTTTTCAATGTTGCTGCGGATTTGTAGGAAATACATAGAACAGAACCTGCTAAACTTCTTATGCATATACAGTCAGCATAGTGAGACTTATACAGAAATACCGTACAGAACTCCATCACCCAAATATCACTGTTATTTGTGTACTATAAACGTGTACCAATAAAATTAAAAAACTTTAAAAATTACTGCTATGAATACAAAGCATTGGGCAGAGAAAACAGCTTTGGTAGCTCTGGCAGGACTAGATGAAAGTTTGACTAGTTTTGATGAAAGGCCTCATAAGGAAGGGGAGTTCCTAGCAAATTATTTAGTTACTGAGAGTCAGTTGTGGCCAGATCTAGGCTACCAGCTGTGTACCAGGGCCGGTTTTGGGCCACACAATCAGTACAGTTGCACAGGGCCCTGCACTTAGAAGGTTTCATGTCTGATGCTTCTTTCTTAACTCTGTCTTCCAGTTTGTCTTGTAGAAATGCAGTCTGAGGGGATGATGGTGCATGCCCTGGGCCTGGGAGCCACAGCTGATGTGGGGACCTGTCTTCTGCCACTTGTTGTGGATAGGTCAGCAGCTGTCTGCTCTCCTGCCCTCTGGTCTCTGGGATCTGCCCAGCCTTCTGCTTCCTGCTCCAGCCCAGTGATCACTGCCCTACCTCGGTCAAGGTTCAGCGTGTGCTCTTCCTGGTGTCTGGGGAGGAGTCCCATTGGATGTAGCAGTGCCACAGCATGTGTGGCGGTCAACTCGGTGGGAGTGTTATTGAGTACAGCTCAATGGAGGTCACCCACCTGCTGTGGGCTGGGAAGGCACCTAGCTTGACTTCTTATCCCTATCTGGGTAACAGAGAATCAGTCCTGCAGCTGGCAGCAGGAGGATCCTGGTGGCCAAGGGGTTGTGGGGACCCCTAGATTCCTGGGAGGGTCTGAACTTATCACAGAAGTATTGCTTGCCAGGGAGTGCAGTGTTAAATAGCAAATAAAAAAGACAATGACAGCCGCGTGTGGTGGCGCACGCTTATAATCCTAGCACTCGGGAGGCTGAGGCAGGAGGATTGCTGTGAGTTCCAGAACAGCCTGGGCTATATAGTGGGTTCCTCAGTCTCAACTCAACTACATAGTGAGACCCTGTCTCAAAAAAACAACAACAAAAAAGAGAATGACACCAGGAATGGTGGCACATAGCTGTCATCCAAGTACTTGGGAGGCTGAGGCAAGAGAATGCCACAAGTTCAAGGCCAGCCTGGGCTACATAGTGAGATCCTCTCGCTTTTTGAACATAGATTCCATATTTTCATTTTGCAATGGGCCCAACAAATTGAGAAGCTGATCCTATGAGTAATCTGGGACAAATTTCCAAACTTCAGTTTTCTCACTTGTAGAATGGGGGAACAGATGTAAAATGGGGGAATGTTTATATAACTGAATTTAAATAAGGACTTATTCCACTGCCTAGAACTTTGTACCAAATAACTATTAGCTGAAAATAGATTTTTAAAAAGTACACTGGCTACACAGACATAGAAGCAGTAATTTTAAAAAACCCCACAAGATCTGGTAAAAATTAGGATATAAGAAGGATTTGCCAACAGCAGAAACAGGGGGCATATACTAGTACATAATAACTTTAACAATTGTCTGGGACAACATGTAGTTCACCTTCTTGCAAAATGTAGGTCCTTGGGAAATGTCTTCCTTTGAGCTGAGGATCTTTTGCTTGGTGGTATTAATGAAAGTGCTTGCACTCAAAATGGGGAAGCTTGGGTAAAAGGGAGTCTGAGGTTAAGATGACTTGCTGATGTCTTAAACACATCAAGTTGTACAGGGATTGGGTAATTTGCTCTTATCAGCCTGTAAAATGTACTTTTGCATTTTCACTTGGCCTGTAGGCTTCTGTTCTTGATAAAACATGCAACAACAAGCTAAGCACAGTGATATTCATGCTGAATTTTTTTCCTTTTAAATTTTTATTTATTTATTTTTAAAGATGGGGGTCTCCCTCTGTTGCCCAGGCTGGCCTCAAACTCAAGGGCTCCTGCGCTGAGACTGCAGGCTTGTATCACCATACCCAGCTTCAAGACTGTATTTTAAACCATGAAAACTACAATCCAACCTGAGTCCATTACTAGGAAGGTGGTTATATGCATTGATTTATTTTATGCAATAGACTACCATGCTGTCATTAAAAAGGATAAGGTAGACCTCTACCAACGGTAGAATAACCAGGGAATTTTAAGTAAAGGAAGGAGAAAACCCATTTCTAGGAACATGTTTACCTTATTATTTATGAAATATATATGTACAAGTAAGTGCGTATACAGAGGTCTGAAGTTACACAACAAGCTGGGCATTGTGGTGCAGACCTATAATCCCAGCATCGACAGGATAAAGCAGGAGGATTACTGGCAGCTTGAGGGCAGCCTAGGCTACATGGCGAGATCTTGTCTCAAAAAACTAAAACGAAAATAAAGTTACACACCAAACTGTTAACATTATTTCTGAGGAGGGAGTGGGTGCAGTTAGTCTGTGTGAGTCAACCGGACACTCACGTTTCTCGGTGCACTGCTGTCGTTTGAACCTTTCACGTTTCCATACATTACTGAGAAACAACGGGAAGAGAATTTTGAGGGTCTGTCGCGAAAGTTGAGTAGAGGTCGGGAGACCTAAGGCCGGGTGTCTCCTGAGGTGAGGAGGAGATCCCGCCTGCTGAGGTGATTCTGCAGAGGGGCGGAGCTCTGCGGCTCCGAGGCGGGAGGCGGCTCCGGGGGCGGGGCCAGCCGACTCCAGCCGCTTGCTCCGTTCCCACCATTCCCTTATAAGGAGCGCCCGGCGTTAGGGCCACGGAATCCGGTCGTGATCCCGGAGGCGCAGCCCCAATCCCAGGCCCCTCCCTTGTGAATGGGGGCGGGGCAGGACTTTGGCGGCGCCGTGTTTGGGGCGGAGCATCTCGAAGAAGGACCAATAGGAATGGCGGCCTAGGTCTGAGCCGCGCCGCCATTGGGCGCGGCGACGCGAGGGGGTGGGGCTCCCGTAGGCTGGTTACGCCGAGGGAAGCCCGGACTCTAGTCGCTGCTCCGAGTCAGTCTCTCCGCGGGTTCCCGGCCCAGCCGATCCCTTTTCTCTGTCGCCCGCGGTTCCCCGCCCCGCCAGCCGCCGCGATGCCGGTGTTTCACACACGCACGATTGAAAGCATTTTGGAGCCGGTGGCGCAGCAGATCTCGCACCTGGTGATTATGCACGAGGAGGGCGAGGTGGACGGCAAAGCCATCCCTGACCTCACCGCGCCCGTGGCCGCCGTGCAA